GAGAGAGAGAGAAGAGGGGTAGGGTAAAAAATTAGGGTTAGAATGTTTATATATTACCTGATTTTTGAAAAATAAAGTTTGGTCCCTGATTTTTGAATTGGTGTAAATTTTACACCTGATTTTTGTAATTATACCAAATAAGATCGCCTAGATATTCACGTGTGTGTTATATCAAGAATTAGAGATTCGAATATTTACCTAAATTCGATGGTTAATTGTTGAATTAATTTTGAATTACAAACTTTCAGCTTTTTGGATTACAAACTTCCAGTCTTTTAATTCCAAGAACTTGATACTCCAAACATCTAAGTTTTCTATGGCATTCTCCAAAGCTGAGATTACACTGGTGGGTAAGCACCTTCTTTTCAATAAACTAATTTTTGGATTAGATAATATGAAAATTTATTTTTTCTCACTTTTTTATATCTCCAATTTGAGCACCATGAAATTATGTATTCTGTTTTTTCTAGGATTTTATGTCTATCCACTCTCTATTTATGGAGATAAAGATGTTCTAATCCAGGTAGAATAAAAATTCAGATTTCAAATAAGCGTTTGAAATCAAAATCAAAATCAAAATAGGAGTTTTAATTAAAGTCCACATCCAATTACTTTACATTTAATTACACGTGTAGTCCTAAAACTTCAATTACAATTATAATTAAGTTTACAACTTTTATAGCAATATAACTAAGTACAAAACTTTATTGTAATTACAATTAAGCCAGAAACTTTTATTATAATTATAATTAAGTGCCTGTTTGTCTACCATTATTGTGATGAAAATGGTGTAATGAATAGTATTTTTTGGAGAATGTGTGGTTAAAATTGAAAGAAACTTTAACGGTTTATGTGTAGAATATTTTATTATTTGAATATGTGGTGGAGATTGATTACTATAGAAAATCATGTTTTGAAAAATGGTAGACAAATAGGGGCTTAGTTGCAATACTTTCTGTTTAGACGTTGTACAAAGCTTTGATCCCCCGTATATCGTCTGCATGCAAACCTTTCGTTATACCAGAAAGGATTGTGGGAAACATAATTGCATTTGGAACTGAGCTATGTTGAAGTCCAAGAAGATGGCCAATCTCATGAAGAGCAATGGTTTCTACATCATGTGCTCCTGGGACGGGACCTATGGACAATCTCTCATCTGCATCGAAGTGAAATCTTCCATCGCTCGGGGCGGAAAGCATGAGCTAGTATCCCACCAGGGCCATCAAATGGAAATCCATCGCCATGATCGCCCCTATGGAAACCGATAACTAAATCAGCACCTACTGTATTATGAACGCGCGAGAATGTAAAATGCGTTGCGGAAGCCCATTGGTTGAATGCTCTCACAACCGGCTTAATGGCAGCAGCAGGTGTATTGGCTTGAAATGCATACGTGAGGCGTGTTTTCGAAGCTGGCCATCTTGGGTTGCCCGGAAAAAACCTGAAATGCGAGACTTCGTGGATGGAGCTTGAACCAGGATGAGTGCGGTGCAAGTCCCTGTCACCGGATTTCATCCTGTTAGTTACATTAACAATATCGGGCATCCCACATCGAGGTGTCATCATTAACGATAAAGTCTCAGCATCTAAGATCCCAGTGGCCTTGATATGGTAGTTGAATTGATATGTTCTGAGGGCCGACTCCAAGGCATCATCGAAATCATCAGACGTAAAATTTTGATGACTAAGATAACCAAATTTTTTGAGGTAGTTTTTGAGCTCGTGAAGGTCTTTTATTTTGTCACCCTTGTGACAACCTTCCAAATGTTTAACGAACTCGAATGCCGATGTTTTACCGAAATTCGGCCCTTTAATCTTTCTATGGCTAAGGACAGGAATGGCTAAAGTAAAGAGAAAGAGACATGAAAAGAGAGGAGAAATTTTGATTGTCATGGTTAAGGACAAAGTAATTCCAAGGAAGAGGTCTAAATTTAGGAATGTGCTGTGGTTATTCCAGTGTTTGAGTCTATTTATAGACTTGGACTTTGGGGGAATAGAAATTTTGGTTTCCGTCTGTAATCAAATTATAATAGAATAAGTCCTTGATAGGAAGCATGGTGGAGAAATACATATTCTTCGACGATAGTTATCAAAATATAATAGTACAAGCGATTTTGATATGTATAGAACCAATAGTACATTTTTTGCTCTTTTTTTTTCCCCCAATATGCATGTTTGTGAAATAATTATATTTGCCACTGCTCTTTTAATATATTAAAATCTTTGAATTGTTCTTGTTGGAACCAAGTGGTACCTCCAGAATTGACTGACTTTTCGTAGTTTGTTTTGAATTCATAAAATAGTCATCCATATGGTGTAAAATAATCAGTCATGGCTTCAAGGTTAAAATTTATTTCTTAGAAAAAAAAAAAGACAGATTCTAAGACAACAGAGGAGGTTAAATGTGTGCATACCTCCGTTCAATATCGCATTTCCATTACTTCCAACCAGCTGTGGATCCAGCACCCAGCGAGCACCGGCGATTGCACGTGCTGGATCCGTCGGAACATTTTTTTTGTTGAGAATAGATAAAAGATTTTGCTTATATATCTGATAATTCATTTTATTTTCAAACATATTTTATAGCTTAGTTGGTTAGAGCTTTCACATCCAAATTAGATGTCATGGGTTTAAATATCTTCCAAATCACATTATTGTGCAATTTTTCTAGTTCTACAATTTTTACCAAAACAAATGTTAGGGTGGGGATTCGAACGTGTGAGCCCTCCTTAAGATTACTAAAAACTTGACCATCATGGCATTCATCGAATTTTGATACTAAATGCTACAAAATAATATATGTTCAGTTCTAGCGGTTTTTATGCAATTGGAAAGATTTAAACATATGTTCTTCCTTTGAATTATACAAAACTTGGCCACCATGTCATTTGGTGAATATTGTTGATATATATAACTGAATTATATATGTTTAGTTTTAGCAAAATATTTGTTATATTTAATTTTAATATTTTATTGCGCTCGATAGTCAACAGTCGCTCGTGCTCATTCAAAATCCGGAATCTACCACTGCTTCGAACTATGCCTCCCAACAATATCTTCACCAAAGAATTCTGCACTTCTTCCTTCAATGTGTTTGATATTTAATTGTTTAGTCAATTCATATATAAATTAGTAGTAACTCGCGAAGAAGAGTTTTTGGTACATTACACATTTAGCCCTTGTTTGAGCCCCAACTTTTTTTGCCAAATCACATTTTAGAATTGTGTTTTGTTGAAGAATGTGCGGTTAAAAAGTAAGAAACTTTTTTTTATTTACATGTGAAATTATTTTATAGAAGAATTTGAGATTGAAAATGAGTTTTGAAAAAATGGGGGCCAATATATCTTAGAGAAGAATTTGTGATTAAAAATGACTTTTGAAAAAATGGGGGCCAAAAATAGGTTAATATATTTAGATAACTAATAAGAATATATCACAAGTATAGGTACAGTTAATTGAACCTAAGTTAAGAGAAGCACCATTGTTAAAATAAATATTTTATAGAACTTCAAACTACTATTGTAAAACAAACCACCGGATTGAGATGTTGAAATTATATGAAAAATAATAATGAAATATATGATCAAGCAAAAGAATAATAAAGACAAGAATATGGCAAATGAATTAAGAGATTTTATTAACTTAAAAATAATGGAGAAGGGAGAAAAATTACAATAGATCATATAATTCTAGTAATCTATTTTCTCATACTATAAAATTACATAGAAGAGCCTAATATTTGTAGGGAACATGTAGGGAATGTCCAAAACCTCCTAATAAAGTTGTTAATGAAGTAGGATACAAAAAAATCGAGTCCAAAACAAATTACAACTCCCAATGGACTTCCAAAATAAAATTTCAACTTGACATAGGACTCCAATAGCATTCCAAACTAAATTCTTCTTGATATGCACTTCAATTAGAATTTTTCAATTACTTCAACAAAGAATTCGAGTCACACCCAAATTCTAACAATTCTACCTTGACACAAATTTCATAAAGGAATGAACTGGTTTCTTCAACAATAACCAAAAAATTAATTTCTCCAACAAAACACAATACTCCACATCTTCCAATGGATCCAAGCACTACTCTACAGAATTACCTCAGATTCCCAAAAAATCATAATGATTTTAAATTAATTAAAATGGGCTGTAACGCACCCCAAAACAGAATCAAACTCAAATGCTTTTAAAGAATGCCATTTGTTAGATTGTACACCTTCTACTCCACTTAAAACGTGATCAACAAAATCAGCATCCACATACCCTACTATTGGGTCCGTCCCTAACAATTGGATACAATGATACCACAGGTGATGGTGGCAAAACGGATTATCCATATCTCCTAAAGGTATTGTACCAAACTGACTGTCCACTATGGTATTGAACTTGTACTGATTGACTCTTCTAAATTCTGCACAACCTTACAAGATGTATAACTGAGACATTTTCTATCCCTTCAATACAACTTGGGCACCCTTACAAATCTTCAAAACTCCACCTCTACCAAAGAACTCATAACCTATTGAATCAAGGATAGAAACGAGATGAGATTTTTCTTCAAATCTGTAACATGTCGAACCTGACCAAGTATTATAATTGTCTCATCCAAAAGCTTCAATCAATCTATACTAATTCCAGCAACCTAACAAGATGCGTTGTTTCCCATAACCACAACATCTTTAGAAACAGTTTCATATGTAACAAACAAGTTCTTATTAGGACACATATGTAATACACATGATAAACCAAGAATCTAATCATCTTCCGGTTTAGCCTCAATGTCAGAAATAGCTAAGAGATCTTCATCACTTACAACGTTCTCCGCGATGTCTGCTTCGCCTGAAGTATCTGAATATCTACTTGCAGCCATCCTTCCTTTATTCTGCAATTTGTAGTAATCCTTCTTTAAGTGTCAATTCTTCTTACATTAGTTACAAATTTGATTACTGAACTTAGATTTCGATCTACTCTTTCCAGAACCACCATGAGCAACCAGACATTCTCCATCTCTGGTATCAGAAACCATGTACTTCATCTTATCTTTTCAATACAAAGTATCATACACTTCCTCTATGTTGAGAGTATCATGATTATACAAGATCATGTCTCTAAATGAAGAAAACGAATCGGGCAACGAACACAATAGGATCAAGGCCAAATCTTCTTCATTATGCTCTACTTTCAAAGTTTCCAAATTAGCGACGATCTCCTTAAATACAATCAGGTGGTCTTCCAATGATCCTCCTTCTGCCATTCGATGAGAGTATAAACGCTGCTTGAAGTTCAACTTGCTTCCCGACTTTTAGTCATGTACAATTGCTCCAACCTCAACAATAAAGCAACAGCTGAATTCTCCTTGAAAACGTCCTGAAGAATAGTATTTGATATATAAAAATGAATGTGAGAAACTGCATTTTTATACTTCTGTAATTTCTCCTTCGCGAACAAAGATGCCAGCATCCTGTCAATATCCAATAACGCATCATCCAAATCCAGCTATGCAAGTACTAAATCAACGAGATGAAATTCTTCTTCAAATCTGGAACATGTCGAACATGGCCAATTGTTCTAAATCAATGATGATCTCCTTAAATACAGCCAGGTGATCTTCCAATGATCCTCCTTCTGCCATTCGATGAGAGTATAAACGTTGCTTGAGGTTTAACTTGCTTGTTATACTTTTAGTCATGCACAATTGTTCCAACTTCAACCATAAAGTAGCTATTGAATTCTCCTTCAAAACATCCTGAAAAATAGTATTTGATAGATGAAAATGAATGTGAGAAACTGCATTTTTATCCTTCCGTAATTTCTTCTTTTCGATCAAAGTTGCGGGCATCCTATCAATTCCCAACAACATATCATCCAAATCCAGTTGTGCAAGTACTACACGCATCTTAACATGCCATAGTGAAAATCTAGTGCTCCGATCCAAAACCAAAATGTCGTACTTCATGAAAGCCCTCACGAATAAAAAATATCGAACAAATCAAACACTGATCTCTTGTGGAACAGTTGAACCTGGCGCTCTGATACCAATTGTTGTGAAACAAACTACCAGATCGAGATGTTGAAGTTATAAGACAAATAATAATGAAATATATGATCAACCAAAAGAATAATAAAGATAAGAATATGACATAGGAATTAAGAGATTTTATTGACTTAAAAATAATGAAGAAGATAGAAAAATTACAATAGATACCAACAAAGTAGGGGATGTCCAAACTCTCATAGTAAAGTTGTTGATGAAGTAGGATACCAAAAAATCGAGTCCAAAACAAATTACAACTCTCAATGGGCTTTCAAAATAAAACTTCAACTTGACATGGGACTCTAATAGTATTTCAAACTGAATTCTTCTTGGTGTGCACTTCAATTACTATTCTTCAATTACTTTAACAAAGAATTCGAGTCACACCCAAATTCTAACATCTACAATAATTAATTGAATTTATATTCAGTTTGAGATTAGAAATCTCATTGTAATTTATATATATAATATAATTCATAAATCTCCGCATTCATAATTCGTTTTCATACATTAGTATTATAGTTGTGTTATACTAATATGAAGTTTTGTAAATTACTGAGATGTGTGATATTGGACAATGACTTAAATGTTCCTTATCAAATTATACTAGCGGATTTTGAAGATAAAGTACATAAACTTCACTTGAGTCTAATATATATGCTTGGAGTTCTATGTTGAAGCAGTACCAGCAGCCAATACAATTTTAGGACAGCATCTTCAATGCAATTGATTGAAATGCTGGCTTTTATAAAATATTGTTTTTTTCATCTTGATTTGTCATTACGAATATGATGTCAATTATCATCATTACAGGAAATATCATATTCAATAACCATATAAATGACCATAGAAAA